GGCTCAGCCGTTGCCGCGGGTGCGCGGGCTGGTTGGGGCCGAAGCCCGTCCTGGTTCTCTCGTTAATTTGCACATAGGTGATTTCTGGCACGGGGCGAGGAACCGGGGGGTTCTGCGTTTTGCCGGGTTTGCGTAGATTTTCCTTGAAAGCTCGCGAGGTTGTTAGCGCTCTGCTGTCCGTACTGGCAGCGGCAGTCCCAGCACCCCCAAAATGACGGGGAGACCGGCCACCCCTCTGACCCGCGCCGGGCTCCCTTCCCCCTCAAACCATCCGGCTGTGGTAAACTCCGAGCCTACTCACGGGTGTCACAAAAGCAGCTGTTTCCAAACAGTAATTTTAGCGTAACCTCTGTAGAAATATTGCCGCATCAGGGCCTCCGGTCGGGGACGCTGCTCTGGTGAGTGCCCTACCGTAACAAAGCCAAACCAAAGTTGGCAAAACCTCGTCTTTGCCAGGATCTCCAAAGGGGGAAACCACATGAAGCGTCTGTAGTGTTGATGTCCCTTACAAGGTCCAACGTGACGGAAGCTTCAGCTGTGTTACTCGTGTGTGTTTTTTCCATTGTTCGGGAATGTTTGCTCTCATCCTGCGGTGTCCCTTTCCAGATCGCGCTTGCCAGTTTCTACGAGGACGGAGGCGATGAGGACATTCTGACTCTTCCCCAGCCGACACCCAGCTCCGTATCCAGAGGCACTGCAGCCAGGTGAGGAGGGAGCTTCAGCTCAGGCTGACCTGTTTATCGGCGGCTTGTAAACCTGACGGGGAAGACTGTTGATGTCAAAACGCAAGCCCTGTCTAAAGCGTTGATGTATGTTAATTTTCAGGAGAAATAGCTCTGCGTTTTGATCTGTTTCGCCGTGTATGGCTCTCTAGAAATTGTGGAAACATCAGCATTTTATACATCGCAAGCACAGAGGTTATTGCACAACTAATCCAAAGATCAGTTAGGACAGCTTGCCTCGCTGCTCAGGAAAAACCTGATTTGTCCTTTGAGGTTAGAAGACAATCGGTTGGTGACGCTTTCATTTGAGCAGATTGTATCTCCGCAGGAAAAATATTTTCTGCTTTTGTGTGACGCCCGATCTGATCGGGTCGAGCATTTTACAAAAGGAGTTGATTTCCCTGTGCAGTGAGGAAATACTGTCCAGTTTTAAGGAGTCACTGACTGCATCTTGAAGGAAAAGGGCTCTCGGTTCAGGCTTTGGTGAATGAAGTCCGTATTGCAGAAGAACCTTGTTTCAGTTTGGATCACAACTAACAGCCTCGGCAGAAACGACCAGAGGGGAAGGACGTGGGGGCTGCGCTGTCCTGGGGCCTGGAAGAGAAACCTGTGCTCGTGCAGGTTCGGAAGGGGCGGCTCTTTGAAAGAGGCAACAAAATCTAGTACGCGAGCAAGGACGGGGACTGAGGACTCGCAGCTTTTGCTGCGTCTGCAGCTGCCATCTGAGCCTCCTGCAACGCACCCGCTCCCGTTTTCTGTTGGTGCAGTTGGCAGAGAGGTCCAGGAGCTCGTTTCACTGCTCGGTTACGCCAGCCCTGACCTGTCATTTCCTAGAGTGATGAATCAGGCCCTAAAAGTAGAACAGGGTCAACCTAGCTGCTGTGTTCAGGAGCTTTTGCTTATGTGGCTGAAATGTGTCATGAGGCTGACGTACTTCTCTGATTGACTTCTGCAGTGACCATAGGGTAACATCGTTTAGAGACCTTGTTCACGCGCAGGAGGATGATGATGAAGAGGAGGAGGGACAGCGGTAAGTTTTCAGTTAAAGACTTAAAGCCTGTGTGTGTATCCCTGCCCTTTTGTGATGATTAAAAGCAGATTTAAGGCAATATGAAATTCCTGTAGTGAAAAATCTCAGGTTTGGCGCGGAAAGGTTGGTCAGGGCAAAGTCTGTGCCCAAGCACGCGCTCGGCGTGGCTGTATAAGCACCAGTTTTCATCGCTGAGTTGTGCTGTTGAGGGAAAGCCTGAGGGAGGATATGGAAACCCTCGGCTAAGAATAGAAAAAAGCCCAGATCATCATTTGTGTCCATAGAGAACAGAAATGTGGGAATAATGCAGGGATTGTTTTTCTTTCTGCTTGGGGTTTTGGGGTTTTTTTTTTGGTTGGGGTTTTTGGTTTCGTTTTGGTTTTTTTTATTAACTGCTGCTCAAGGGTAATGTAATGGAGTGTGGAGGTGGAAAGAAAAATGTAGGTCCCCTTTCCAATGGGAACGTGGCTTACTAGTGACAACGTCGTCTACGATGTCAGCTGTAAGTAGTTAAATACCCTTAAGATTAACAGGCAAGGTAAACTGAGCGCAACTGATGCATCTTAAGGTGGCACAGCCTGGGTAGACTGCGTGGTCTTCCGCAAGCAGATGTGAGCTTGCTCTGTGTGTGCTACAAGCCAGCTGGAAGCTAATAAACCCAATCTTCCAGAAGTGCTTAATTGCACTTCACTGACTGCATTCATTGCTTCCAGTTCAGATCCGTCCTGTGTGTGTGGATCTTTCAATGTGGCATGAACGTAACGCGTGCTTTCCCCCAAAACACCAGTTAGTTGTTGCTCATCTTTTTCCATCTGACAGGTCGGAGACTGGAAGTCTCGCTGAGCTTGGTAATAGAGCCGGTACTAGCATTTGAAACTGGGCCTTGTCAGTCTAGACTGCTTCTCTTGCTAGGTCTGAGAGTTATCATCACTTTATTGCTATTGATCAATGGATAATTTTACAGTAACTGACATAAAAAGAAAGTCTCTGCAGTACAGGAGCTTGTAAGCGGCGACAGGAGCCACTGGTAGTGGCTAATATTCGTAGATCCAAGCTGTACAAAAATGAACTGAATCCTGGTATCAAACTGCTGGCTCCTGTCGCATGCGTCCCCTGGAGAAGCAGCGGTCCATCTTACCCAGAAGCTGTGTGCTTTCTGCTAGGTTTTATGCCGGCGGCTCAGAGAGAAGCGGACAGCAGATCGTTGGCCCCCCGAGGAAGAAGAGTCCCAACGAGCTGGTGGAGGATCTGTTCAAAGGAGCAAAGGAGCATGGTGCGGTGGCGGTCGATCGGACGGCCAAGAGCGGTGGCGAGACTAGCAAGCCTAAAGTGAGGAGCGATGAGTTCTTCCTTCTGTTCCCCGTTTCGGTTCAGGCTCCCACAGTGACGGCTGTTCGGCACCGCAGAGTCCTGGAATTATCTTAAAAGGACAGCTCAGTCTGGAGCCCTCTCTCGGTGCAGCTCCGATTCGTGTGTCACAGTGGCAAGAAAAGCCACTTTCTTGTGCCATCTTTATTAACTTGTTCAAGCTGGTCACTGCGCCTGCAGGGCAATAGATGTTGCTGATGCCACAAAACCCCCCTGTTCGTCCATAACGGCGCTGGGGAAAGGGAAGCAATGCCACGAACCCCCCCTGTTCATCCATAACGGTGCTGGGGAAAGGGAAGCAATGCCACGAAACCCCCCCATTCATCTGTTACAGCGCTGGGGAAAGGGAAGCAATGCCATGAATCCCCCCTGTTCATCCGTAATGGTGCTGGGGAAAGGGAAGCAATGCCATGAACCCCCCCATTCATCCCTAACGGTGCTGGGGAAAGGGAAGCAAGCTGTCTTGGGTTTGTGTCATTCTGTAACCTCTTTGCCCACCCCTCTCTCTTGCAGCCTTTCGCAGGGGGAGGGTATCGCCTCGGGGCTACTCCAGAGGAGGAGTCTGCTTATGTGGCAGGAGAGAGGAGACAGAACTCTGCTCAGGATGTGAGTATCTCTCCGTTCTGTTTTGTAGATGTCGCCCGAGGGATTTCTCTGCTGTAGCTACACAGCATGTGAGCCCAGAGAGTTATAAAGCTTGATAGAAATCCAAGAGGACAGAAGTATGGTAAATCCTGCTTCCCTTGGGATTTCTGATTAGGAAATAGTAGATGCTTGGGTGTTAGGTAAGCAGCTTTCTGATGAACTTTTAATTAAGAATCTGAGCACTCCTTAGAAGTGCAGACTGTGAAAAATAGCGTGCAAAGAGCACCGGGCGATTAACTCTTTAATCCATTGAAGAGATGCAGAGCCAACAGCATCAATGCAAGACTCTCTCGTGCTTGGTTTGTGACCAAATACGCATCTGGGCAGTGGTGGGAGCTTGGTTTAGGCTCCTTGCCTGGCACACTCTTGGCTCTTCACCCGTATTTATCAAAAAGGGGTCTGTGGTGCCACCTCCTCGGAATTGATGTATGGCCTTTACATAGCCGGTGCTTTGGGTTTTTCCCTCAGCCCGGAGGAACCTGGCTGGAATGTTTTCTGCACCTTGAAATTCCTCTGCCAGTCAGGAACGTTTCACTTTGCGTCCGGTTATTGTTCTCACTAAGATGCTTCGGTGAGGCTGATTGCTGTTTGGGGGCTGCTGCAGGTGCATGTTGTACTGAAGCTCTGGAAGAGTGGATTCAGCCTGGACAGCGGAGAACTGAGGAGCTACCAGGATCCGTCCAACGCCCAGTTTCTTGATGACATCCGCAGAGGGTATGTAGCGAGAGGGGAGAGAAAGAATAGCCGTTTTCTGGAACACCAGCGTTTGTGGAATTCAGGATGCTGAATCAGTGGCACATTTCACCTGAGCTTTCTTGTAAGAGATTCTTAATACGGAGACTGTGGGAGGGCAGCCTTGAACGTGTACTTCAGAGAAACGGGAAGTGGCTTTGGTTTGGATGGGACCTTGAGAGTTTGAAGTGATCAGACAGACTCTCATATTTGGGCTGAGAATTTCTGATGCATCGTGTCACTCCGGGTGAGGGCCAGGGAAAAGTAACCTTTAATTTGTGTCTGCTAGTGGGGAGGCGTGCATCTCCTCTGTTAATTAAGCCAGGGCTCACTGCGATTCCTGAAATTCCAGAGGCCTGTGGCTGGCCTTTTTCTCCACGCTTTCCTGACTTGCTGCTTCAGGCAGCTGCCTTAGGACGCTCTCTTTGCAGGGAAGTGCCGGCAGAGCTGCGCAGGTTAGCACGGGGCGGACAAGTGAACCTGGATATGGAGGATCACCGGGATGAGGAGTATGTGAAGCCAAAAAGCGTCTTCAAAGCTTTTACTGGAGAAGGACAGAAGCTGGGCAGGTGAGAAGACAGCAGCGCTGCTTTGCTCTGGGTGTGGTGTGAGCCAGTCACTCGAGCGTTTTGCCAGGTTGAGCCTTCTGATTCATCTTTCTGAAGAAAAGGCACTCAGCGCCTGCGGTATGTGAGGTGTTCCTCTAAGAGAGGAAATGAGGCTCGCTGGCGTGTACTGTGAGGTGGCCCGGTTTTTCCGTGGCAGGAGGTGGATCCCGAGTTGGGAACCACCACGGTATGTCACCTAGAAGCAGTGTTTCCAAGTTACACTGTCCCTGTGGGTGTGTGAAGGCCTGTGGTGTGGTGCTACAAAGGGAGACGGTAGGGGGCAAGCTGTAGATGAGCTCCTGCTGACTAGCTGACTCCTCCGCTCTCCCGTCCAACTCGCATTGGTGTCTCTTGCCTAGGAACCCTGGTAGTTGGGCCCAGCAGGTGATAAGCTCGCTGCCCGACCCCCGGCACCCTGCGGCCGGGTGAGCCGGTGGGTTTTTAACAGCTCGCCTTGTGTCTCCCTGTTCTCAGCACCGTGCCCCAGGTGATGGGCACCAGCTCGCCAGCCCAGCAGGCAGCGAATGAAGCCAAAGCCAGTTCTGCCATCGCTATCAATGAGTCGGAGCCCGTCACCAACATCCAAATCCGGCTCGCCGACGGTGGGCGACTGGTCCAGAAGTTTAACCACAATCACAGGTACAAAGGCAGCAGGAAGCACAGGTTACTGACGGGGAAGGCCCGAACGGCACTGCAAACTCTGCACAGATGGAGCAGACGTTAAAATCCTAGCTAGCCTGCTAAAGGGAGCTCTGGGGATCCTTCTGGATAGGCGAAGGGGAATAAAATTATTGTGGGGTTTTAAGGCAGTCGTTAACTGTTGGAAGGACAGGATTTGCTTTCCAAATAGCGATGGATTATAGCGGGTGATGCTGCACCTGGGAGCTCCGGTGTTATCAGCAGAACTTTCCTTAATGTCACCTATAAAAAAACTGAATCTCTTCTGAGGGCTTTAGAAACTGTCAGGTAATTAGGAACTTGGTTCAGTTATTCTGACTCTCAGTTCAGACTTTCCTGCTGGGCCGCTCCCTGGGCCGAATGGAGCACCCAGGGGTGCTCTCACAGCAGCTCAGTTCCCTCGGACGAGCAGAGCTGGCTTATAAACCCTGCTGCTCCTTAGACTTCTCCTGAAGCCCGTCTCACCTACCTGCTCTCAGAGAGCATGGCCATTCGTTTGTACTCGTTCTTCCAGTTTCTATAAGAGAACTGAGAATGATGCAAAAAGTTACAAAAACCTTCTTCTACGCTCGGGTGCAGGAAGTAGATCCAGTGTCACTGTTGTGGCTGCTCTTGGGAGCTGAGATCATCTCGGTTATGCTGTGTGTGATGAGCTCAGTCACTTCTAGCAGCCAGCGTCAAGCAATTTGTTAATCTTGAAGGGTTCAGAAGCCTTCAGTTTCAGATAGCTGCCTGACAACACAAATGTCCCAGTCGGGCAGCGGAAAAGAACATTTAGCCCACAGTCTTTAACCTGTAAAGCAGCTTGTGTTATTTCCCTAAACGGGAGCCTACGGAGAAGTAGATTAAATCAGAATCGTCTGGCTGTGGCCTCTGCTGGTAGCTGAAAAGCAAGCGCAGCGACCGCAGGGTTGCGTGCTCCGGGAAGGGTGAATTGAGGCTGTTGCCGTGCGCTTGTACGGGATGTTCGGTAACCGGATCACCCTTGTGTGTTCGATCCCTTTGGACAGGATCCGTGACGTCCGGCTCTTCATAGTAGATGCTCGGCCAGCGATGGCTGCCACCAGCTTCGTCCTCATGACCACCTTCCCAAATAAAGAGCTGACCGATGAGAACCAAACCCTGAAGGAAGCCAACCTGCTCAACGCCGTCATTGTTCAGCGGTTAACATAAAGGACCCCACCTCTCGCCACACGCCTGCCTGCAGCGCGCATGTGTCGTCTCGTCCTGTGCGTGCACCCGCGCCGTGCGCCACAGGCTCACATCTACTCGTAGCTCCGGGTTCTTAGGTCTTGGTTGGACTTTTTTCTCTTTAGTTGCATTTGCCATGTTTTTTTTTTTTTTGTGATGATCAGTGGACTTTAAAATAAATAAACGAAACGAATCCGTTTTGAAAGGAACTGCAGCCTATTGTGCCACAAATTCTCCCACGAGAGTTGGGTTGCCTTTGTGGATTGCGTTACTGCACTCTTGAGAGGGGAGGAAGGTGAGGGGGAAGGGAGCTCCCAGGGAGCGGTTTCTGTCCATGCCAGCTGACTGCTCGTCACAACCTTTCTGCTCTTCCCTCTCCGCCAGGGACTGCTGCGGAGCGCTCCCTTTATTTTCGCGCATTAAATACAAACCATACGAGAATGGGTGATCTGATTGTCGGGATAACGGTCGCACTACTGTAAAAGCATTGTGGGGGAAGTCTTTTGTGAAAAAGCTGCGGGGAAAACGCCGATGCGTGTGTGCAGGTGCAAGGTTTAGTGCTCTTCCTGGGCTTTTCCGGAGAGAAAGTCCTGACTTTCCTTCCCTCAGCAGAACGTAGGGGTGTCCGTTGCAGCACCCCCCTGCTCTGCCCGCGCTTTCTCCCGCAGCCCGGGCTGACTGCAGGTTTAATTCGCTGTCTTGCATTTCTCTGAGAAACCCAACTTGCTGCTGACTTTTTCTTTCCAAGACGGCACAAAGCTGAATCAGCTTGAAGGGACCGAAAGTAGAAGGCAAACGGAGTCTCTCTTCCTGGAAAGCAAGTTTTATTTTAAGAGGTGCGTTATTGAGGTGATGGAAACAGCTCAGGTGGAAAAACTGAAGGCTGTAGTACCCTTTGATTTATTTCCTCTCCTCTGCTGAGGAGTAACATAGCTGAACACCTGGAATTCTCCAGCTTTGGTCTGTTCCGCTGTTTGTGTTTTGGGCTCAGGTGTCCGTATCTTTCTTTCCTTTGAACAGAATCCTGCGGGTGAATTTGTTACGCCTAGACACGAGGGACAGGTAGCGCTGGCGTAGCAGCATCACGCGTACGAGTTGCCATCTAGCGTTGTGCCACGGCACCTTGCACCGACCCGCAGCACGCTTGCTCTCCTAGCCCCGGGCTTCAGAGCAGAACTCGGAGCTGAACCGTGGGCCTCCAGACAGCAGCTAACTGGGAGCCGCTGGGTCCCTTCGGGAGAGGCTGGATTGCTGCCGTGCGAAGGGTTGGAGCATGCCGTCCGCTTCCTGCCTTAGTCACGCCGGAGCCCTGCGGCTGCCGTGCTGGAAGTCCGTCCCCCTCAGCGCCCTGAAGCTTCCAGGTCCTCACCTGGGTGCCAGCAGAGCCCAGGCGCTGGGGCCACGCGGGCTGGGGGAGGGCCAGCAGGTTGGACGGGTTCAGCGTGAGAAACTCGCTTGGCTGCCTCTATTAATACAAAACTGCGGGAGTAGATACCAGACCTTAGCAAGGGCATTTTTACAGCAGTTTCTCAACCGAGAGCTGAATTAACTTACATTTTTCATTACTAAATGGATATATAATGTGTGTAACAGCAAATTTGTAAGTTATTGTGAAAATTACCATTAAAAGCCCGCAAAATAGGAAAACAGCGTTTGACCCTTTTAATGGCTACCATCTGTTCTCGTATTTTGGATGATGTACGTGCGGATGTCTACCCTTACTGCTTTGGCTTGCACCGCGAGCAGGCTTCCCAGTGCCGAGCTGTCTTCAGCTAAATGAGATTAAAAATCTTCGCAGGGTTTTTAAAGATCTTTCCTGACAGGTGAGCCTGGGGTTCGCCTGCCTGCATCACTTGATGTTGTATATTATGACCACTTAGTCAGCCGTGTGAACCAGTCCAGATTAATTCGGAAAGGGAGTTTCCCTCGGAGGTAAATACAGTCACAGCTGCCTTGTGGGACGTCACTCATTCGTTAATTGTTCATTGGAGGAGGTCTTGTGTCCCGATCTTCTCCACACGTGCCATTTTGGGGACCTGGGACAACCTCTTCCAGAGTGCTGGCCAGGATGCGCCCCTAGACCCAGAAAGAAAGTTTATCTAACAGAGAGAGTACAAGTTCTTTGTCTCCTGCTTCGCCTTGGTTAGCTGGTGGCATCAGAGGACTGAGGTGGTGACAAGCTGGTGTCCGCGGTCTTTGGCTGGATGAGCTGGACACACTGGTGCCCCCAAATTATTGAATCACAGAATGGTTTGGGTTGGAAGGGACCTTAAAGACCATCTGGTTCCAGCCCCCTGCCCTGGGCAGGGCCACCTTGCACTGGACCAGGGTGCCCAAAGCCCCGTCCAGCCTGGCCCTGAGCACTGCCAGGGATGGGGCAGCCACAGCTTCTCTGGGCAACCTGTGCCAGTGCCTTACCGCCCTCATGGTGAAGAATTTCTTCCTTAGATCCAAACTAAATCTGCCCTCTTTCCGTTTAAAGCCATTCCCCCTTGTCCTGTCACTACATGCCCCTGCAAAAAGTCCCTCCCCAGCTTTCTTCTGGGCCCCCCTCAGGCGCTATAAGGTCTCCCCGCAGCCTTCTCCTCTCCAGGCTGAACCAGCCCAGCTCTCTCAGCCTGTCCTCACAGCAGAGGTGCTCCAGCCTCTGAGCATCTTCGTGGCCTCCTCTGGCCCCGCTCCAACAGGTCCGTGCCCTTCCTATGGTGGGACCCCAGAGCTGGACGCAGGGCTCCAGGGGGGTCTCCCCAGAGCGGGGTGGAGGGGGGGGGATCCCCTCCCTTGCCCTGCGGCCCACGCGCGGGGGATGCAGCCCGGGAGGCGGTTGGCTTTCTGGGCTGCGAGCACACATTGCTGGGTCATGTTGAGTTTCTCCTCAAATGAAGGTCGGCAGCTAGACAGCAACTCGTCTGGCTGCTGACCTCAAGGATTTTGTCACGCGGATTCTGCTCACCGATGGGAAGTTTCGCATCCAGGTTTCCTCCCAGCTCTCTCCTTGCCAGTGGGACAGAAAAGTGCTAAATTCGGAGAGGCTGCGGGCTTGGAGACGCTTCTCTGCCAGGAAAAGCAAATGTTGCCCGGCGCCGGAGGGTGGCAGTGCTGGAGAGAAGCCGCTCTCCTCCTCGCCAGCTGCCTGCGAGGAGCTGCACCTTGCGCTCCTGGGTGTCAGCCCCTCTGGGCCACCGCTGCTGACTCCTTTTTCCTCTGACTCTTTTCTTCTTCTTTGTTTTTGCAAGTCAGGAGCAGTCCTTATCTGCTGGCGAGCAGGCCCGGCTCTGCCCTGCCGCCAGGCTATCTGAAGCGTGCCCGAGTGCAGCCCAGAAGCGGCATCGGTAACCGAGACAGGCATATCTTCTTCCAAAGTCGACAAAAGAGCCTGTGGAACGAACTGGAAGCAACGTACATGCAATCTCCTGTATTAAACTGTCTCCTTCTGTGAGCTGGTGGAACGTTTCACTATAAAATAAGCCATAAAGCAAAAACGACAGCCTGGTTAATTACCAGGGAAGGGATAATATACCAGAACGGGAAAAAGGGGGGTGGGGGTGGAAGGAGGCACCTTCATTTTGTAAAGGAAATCACTTTCCTTGTCACTGGTGCAGCTCTTTGGTGTTTGACGGGCCCCTGCAGGAAGGTAAACGCTCGTTTCTGACATTCCTATAGTTTGTGATGGTGGTTAGCGAGTTTATTTGACTTTCTCTCTAGTAAAATCTCCTTCCTTTATCATTCCATTTCTTTGTTCTAACAGAGTCATAGCCTGAGATTGGGCTTTTCTAAACCTGACATTTATGCCTGCAAAAAAGGGTCTTTTTCTCCTTTGCCTGGAGAAGTGTTTCACTTTGAAACGTTTCTTTCTCTGCTCGTTCCCCGCCGGGAGCCCTGCCTGCCTTCCCAGTCTCTCGCACGCTGGTGCTAAGGCAGTGTTCCACGTCACACGTGAAAACTCACTTCTTTTCCATTTCTGTACGATAAGATACAGCCCAGTTTTACAATCGCGCTGTCCTGTCTGGGGCCGATGTCTTTCCCTGTATCTGAGTGTTTGTCTCCGAGTGCTGTATTTTAATGGTTTTCCCTTCCTCAGACGGGTAATTGTAGGGCTTGCTTGGATTTTTTTTCCTTTGTACGCAGTTCGTTGTTTCCTCCTCTTCCTTTTCACATGTCCTCATTGCTAAGATGTAGTTCCTGTGCTTTCTGATAGCATTTTGCACCATTTCCCGGGAACTCTGCCTCCCCTCTGGAATGCTGCTTTTGCCACGGGATGTTTCCTGATCCGTGTTTCTTGCACAGTCAGAGGTCTGCCTGCCTCGGGGGGTTCTGCTGTCCCGGTGCCTTCAGCGATCCCGGCGTAGGGACACCCATTTCTAGGTGTAGCTGTACCTTCGGCTGCTTCTTCGTGTAAAATAACGTTAACAGCACAAAGCAGCTAGCTGGTTGGGTTGTTTTGGCAGAAAACTCGGGTAGCTCAGCTCGCCGATAAATGCAAGCGGTGACCAGAGACAGGGAGCAAGAAATCCTGTGGGCACAGCTGCGTCTAGAAGAGGACGACTGTAAATTTTGCCCTGATTTTTTTCTTTTCATGCTGCCTTTGGTTATACTCAGTTATATTTAATTTTGCTCCTCATTGCTGGACAGCACTAAATCTTGCCAGAAGGAGAAGGTGACCTTCATGCCATGGCTGCTTCTGGGGTGGGGCTTCAGCTCCCTGCTGTCTTTATTTAGAGGAGTGATTAAAAGGATGGCAGTCTGCTCCTGGGATGCTCTTGGAAGTTCAGTCGGGAGGGTTTTCTTTTGAAAGCAGCACTGCTTTACAGATCCTTTGTTACCAAGAAAAAGGACCCTGAGTTGATGATTCTTCTGACTCTGTAGTTACAGCGGAAAACTGCCTTGGGGGATTGGTGTCACTGTCACATAAAACACGATGCTTATGGCTTTCTTGAGTCCCCCACCATGAGGGGAGGACCTGCGATATCTGCATTAGATCCTTGGGCAGCAGCTGGGGTCCGTTCAGGAGTCTGCTGCTCTAGGTAAGCCTGCTGCTCGAGGTAAGCCTGCGTGAAGAATTGCTAGATTTTGAAAGCAAGACAGTGCTACCCTCTTGCTGCTTCTGAATGGTCTTGGTTCTGTTGGTGAACCAGCACGTTTATAGATGGAGATGGGTAATTTTAAGTGACAGATTTAATTAAGCAACGAAGTTGTTTTTCTTACCAGGTTGTGGGTTTCCATTGGCACTTGTGTGGTAAACACCTGGCATCATGCGAGGAAGGGTGTCTGGCAGTCACCCGAGGCAGAGCCGGGAGGCCGCAGCCCGCAGTTCTCAGCCGTGCCTGCTGCCAGGTTTGCTTTCCTGGCGACCCAGCCGCCTCCCCGGCGAAAGAAAAGCCTTTCAGCTCCTCTCGCGCTTCGAGTCTCAGCCCAGACCTCTCCGAGGTGCGTGCTTCTGTCCTTCAG